AGAGAAGCTTTACTGTAAGTGAGGAGGAGAAGAACGGGTATATGCAGAAGACGAAGGGAGGAAGAGAAGAGCAGCAGCAGCAGCAGCAGCAGCAGCAGCAGCAGCAGCAGCAGTATTATGATCCTGTGCCACAGGATTCTGGAGGGAGAGGCTGTGCTGCGGACGGGGGTAAGATCTTTTGATCTAGTTGGATGGCGGGGAGTGACGTCAGCAGGAGGGAAAGGAGGTGACAGTGACGGCTGGAGAGCTTGTGATCATCTCCGAGGTAAGGGAGGATGAGCAAGGCGGAGAAGTGGGAGGAAGAAGAGGACAGGAAGGGGAGGGGAGGGGAGGAAGGGAGGGGGCCTCCTCAGGAGGAGGAGGAGGAGAAGGTGGAGGTGGAGGAGGAGGAGGAAGAGGAGGAGGAGGAGGAGGAGGTTTGACGAGCTCCTGGCAGGGGTCGACGTGTGAGTGGGTGGTGAAGAAAGCGATGATGGCGCATTTTAACAAGGGAAAGTAAAAGAGTTTGAGATGGACGAGGAGGAGGAAGGGGTTGGAGATGAAGCGTCGAGAAGTCTGGGGAAGGGAGGGAAGGGAAGGAGAGGGTCGAGGGCAGGCTGAGCAGGAGGAGCTGAAGGAGACAAGAGGCAGGAATTGAAGTTGAGGAGGAGCAACCCAAGGAAGGAGGAAAGTGTAATGGAAACAAGTACAGTCAGACATGGTGACAAGAAAAGTCGAGGAGGAGGAGGAGGAGGAGCAGAAGCAGCACGGCTCACGCAGAAGTTGCGAGAGGAGGAGCAGCTGGAGTGGGAGGGAGGTGAGGAGGAGGCAGCAGGAGTTGTCAGGTTCTAGTGGTCATTCCCTGCTTCCACGGCATGGTTTGCATCAGCATCTTGGTCAGCTCCGAGTTCTCAGCCCGATTCTCGTCCTTGATCGCCTCCTCCACCAGCCCCTCAACTTCCTCCTCGTCCCTCTCGAACGTCTCCTGCTCCCGAACTTCAGAGCAGGACAAGGGGGAAGCCTAGGGAGGAGAGGAGGACGAGGGAGGAGGGCAACCAGCACCAGCACCAGCACCAGCACCAGCACCAAGGGGGGGGGGGGGGGAGAAGAGCGGGGATTGGCAAGAGGAGGAGGTAGACAAGGAGGAGGCAGGAGGAGGCAGGAACAGAGGAGTAGGAGGGTGCTTACCTTGCTAGGGGAGATACTAACCACTTAACAAGGCATATGATACTTTGACCGGGGCTACACAGAGGCTAGACCAAGGACCGTTTCGGGTTTGCCCCCTTTTTAGTATTTTTTATTTGATTTTAGTTAGCTACATTGGCTTTCGTTGATAATCCACTTGCC